TAGATCTGCTACTGGCATCATGTATCCATATATCAACTAGAAATGAAGATAGAACACTGTACTGAGGCAGTGACCTCTACTCAATAAATCCTTAGATTTAATACAAAAACTTCAACACTGTGTACGCATCAAACAGGACAGATATAGAATTGAAATTCAAGTGCAGAAAATACAGAGTTACCTGCAAACTTGTGGTATTTCTTCAGGTTCAATGTGACCAGAAACTAGCTCAGAGATGTATAATGTATCCTTCCAGTTTGCAATCTTTCCTTTTGTTTTGTTCACATGAAGATTGCAATCATATCTAACTTGTCTGGCTGTTGGATCAGACGAATAGTACTCTTTCTTCACTTCAACATCTTGTTCATGAAATTTACGAGTCCCATCGATCATTCCTTCCAAGACACTTGAAGGAATCCCATGATTTATCACTTGGAAAAGGCCCCATTTCTCAGATACTTCCCTTATTTCATCAACAATCTTCTTACGCCCATCTTCAACTTCAATGTCACTGAGATCCACCACCGGAACCTGTAGAGTTGATTTGCACATATTCAACTCCTCAGCAAGTTCATGAGGTGGCCTAATGAAAATTCTTGGAATCTCGACTACTCCAGAATCAACTAGTCCCTTAACACCAGCTTTTGCATCATCAATAGCTTTTTTCTCATCCGATGGATCATAATCCATTGCTAATTTCAGCCTTAGAACGAAAAGACTACTAATTAGATGGTTGAATTTTCAAAATATATTGAACATCCCATAAAATAAACATTTGTTAATAGCAGTTTATTAAATAAAACCCCTAACAAATAATTGAGTAGTTGTAGTAAGAAATATTAATCAATTCAATTTTTAATCATCATATCATCGTCATACTATATTATAATTGTGAAACCTCCAAGTTAAAAGTTGGATTACCAAAATACCTTTCCACAAAAAAATGAGATATTTTTATAAAGAGTTGTAATGACTTCCCATACTTATTTTTAATAAAATAAAAAATGTAAAGTAGGAAGAAAAAAGAGAATGTTGATGGCAACTTTTAATATTTAAAACTTTTGGTTTTCTTGAGAAGGTGTTACAGACAAGAGTCCTTTCATTTCTTTATTTATTTTTTAAATGCCTACTGACTCTCTAAACTACCTAACCTTTCCTCTTCTCCAATTTGTTACTCAATTAAAGGGTAAGATAATAAATTGAATGAAAGATGAAAGAAGAAAGAATCATTTATGAATATATCATATTCTTATTCTATGTCCCATCTGTTTTTATAAGTTCAACTGGTTGCCAAAAATATATCATAGGATACTTTTAGCAAAACAGATGAACAAAGTGTTTATTTACACCTTTTGCAATAGTTCGGGGTATTTTTGGTCCTTTTTCCGTAGATAATGGGAATGAAGAGAAGAGGGGAACACAAACACTCATAGGGAACAAGCAACTACAGGGTCCGGTGTTGGGCTGCTTATATTGCTTATCCTTCCCTTATTAGTAGTCGTAATATTTCTCCTATAATTTCTTGTCCTCAGTAGTTGGTATTTCTTTCATAGCTTTTACATATCGTCAAATTTCTGTTACTATCTACTGTCATTTGTTCTCTGATTATCGTACTATTTCCTTCTTTTTTTCAGTGTATGCTTTTCCTTAAGGGGTCTATCGGAAAGAACGTAAGGTCTCTATAGACTCTACTCCTCCCACACTCCACTAGTGGAATTACTAGGTATGTTTTTGTAAATCATAAATGCCCACATGACTTTTGCAAAGATGCAGAAGCAAGAACGTTGAACAACAACATCATCGTCATCATACTATGATGATATTGGTGAAAAGATCCTAACTTAAAAGTTGAATAACAAAAATTGAAAGATACAATGGATATCATACAAAGCTGATCCGATATTGCTAAACGAGGATGAACGATTATAGTCAATACATTATTATTCCTTTATTTGAAAAAACAAACGACATTTATTGTACAGCAAATCACAAACTCTGACATTGTTCTTATATCTGATGGTTTATGGTGATCTAACTCTCTTCACAGTCTGAAAAGATCAAGACCAGTCTTATCGAGAGGCTTCGAGAAAAACTTGGTAACATAATCAACTACTTGAAAATCTTTATATAGTGGGGGGTTTTCTTCAGATATGAGCTCTTTGATTGGACCATACAGCTTTGGAGAGGTAGAAACTCCGTTGAAAAGCATGCCACTGAAATCCTTGGTCCTATCTTTTTCGCTACAACTCTATGAATTGCACTCACAAACTTGTCATTTGATAGGATCTGTGACAAAATCAGATTGAGATGAGTAATAGTTTGTGAAAAAATGAGAACAAAAAAGTTGTGTTTTGTTGCAAACCTGAAGGAGGTCACCAATATTAACAACCAAACCATGTTCAATCGGTGTATCATCGGCCCATTGGTTATCACGCATGACTTGGAGCCCACCATTCTGATCTTGAAACAGAATGGTAACGAAAACAGGATCTGTATGCTTATTGGTACCAAGAGTTAGCTCTGGCAGTGGGCATGCCAGGTAGTAATGGCATACCATTAACTGTCTTTTGTCACATTCAGTGGCTTTTAAGTGGTTTGGCTTTAGTCCGAGAGCTTCTGATAGTAAGCCAAGAAGAATATCTTCTAGTTTTACAACATGATTTATGTACTCAACGGATGTTTTCCTGGACATAAGGAAAAAATCAGAGATTACTACATGAGGACAAGGTTGATATGCATTAATAATTGGATTCACAGTCAAATATTTATATACAAGGTTTGGGCAAAAGGTACTAAGTTCCTGTGATCCCTAAGTTATACTCTAGATCTGCTACTGGCATCATGTATCCATATATCAACTAGAAATGAAGATAGAACACTGTACTGAGGCAGTGACCTCTACTCAATAAATCCTTAGATTTAATACAAAAACTTCAACACTGTGTACGCATCAAACAGGACAGATATAGAATTGAAATTCAAGTGCAGAAAATACAGAGTTACCTGCAAACTTGTGGTATTTCTTCAGGTTCAATGTGACCAGAAACTAGCTCAGAGATGTATAATGTATCCTTCCAGTTTGCAATCTTTCCTTTTGTTTTGTTCACATGAAGATTGCAATCATATCTAACTTGTCTGGCTGTTGGATCAGACGAATAGTACTCTTTCTTCACTTCAACATCTTGTTCATGAAATTTACGAGTCTCATCAATCATTCCTTCCAAAACACTAGAAGGAATCCCATGATTTATCAGTTGGAAAAGGCCCCATTTCTCAGATGCTTCCCTTATTTCATCAACAATCTTCTTACGCCCATCTTCAACATGTATGCCACTTAGATCCACAACCGGAACCTGTAAAGTTGACTTGCACATATTCAACTCCTCAGCAAGTTCATGAGGTGGCCTAATGAAAATTCTTGGAATCTCGACTATTCCAGAATCAACAAGTCCCTTAACACCAGCTTTTGCATCATCAATAGCCTTTTTCTCATCTGATGGATCATAATCCATTCAGCCTGAGAACAAAGAGAGTACTAATTAGATGGTTGAATTTTCAAAACATAGTTTTCATGAACATATTAAACATCCCATCATAGTTTTATAATATCTTCCTTTATTCATAACAAATAATACATCATCATTCTATATTATAAGTGCGAAACCTCTAAGTTAAAAGCTAGATTACCAAAATACTGAAAGAAATATGCTAGAAAGGATCATGATAAATTTTCTGGATTTTGTATTTCTTCAACTTGGGGACTACAAAGCTACTGTACAAGAAAATATATAGGAATAAATGGTAATAAAATAAACTAATGTACCTACCTAGTACATAGCATAAAAATAGCACATGTACTATTTCCAGAGTACTCTACTCTAAAAATATGTGTACATGTACATGTATTTACAAGGAAATTGTTCTATTAGAACTAGACCTCTATTGTTTGTTGTTGAAGCCCATAAAGAATAAATCAGTCCAATAATATAGTTGGGCTTATGTTCTCATCCAAAGACAAATCAACCGTCTTCTTCTTAGCTTTTCTTTTTGTTGAGCAGACAAATCATATTCTTATTCTATATCCCATCTGTTTTTATAAGTCAACTGGTTGCCAAAAATATATCATAGGATATTTTTAGCAAAACAGATGAACAAAGTGTATATTTAAACCTTTTGCAATAGGTCGGGGTATTTTTGATCTTTTTATGTTGATAAAGGGAATGAAGAGAAGAGGGGAACACAAACACGGAATACTCATAGGGAACAAGCAACACCACTGCATCACATATTAGATTTTCTGCAAAACTAAGAACACAAGAAACAGTATATTTAGTCTTTCTAAAATTCAACAGTTGTTATCTTCATGCAACATCTAACAATGCCGACAACAACAGGACTGACATAGAAATGCAATTTAGTAGGTAGTAGAGCATTGTCTTGCTTATTCTTCCTTATTAGTAGTCATATAATTTCTTGTCCTCAGTAGCTGGTATTTCTTTCATAGCTTTTACATATCGTCAAATTTCTGTTACTATCTACTGTCATTTGTACTCTGATTATCATACTATTTCCTTCTTTTTTTCAGTGTATCCTTTTCCTTAAGGGGTCTATCGGAAAGAACGTAAGGTCTGTGTAGACTCTACTCCTCCCACACTCCACTAGTGGAATTACTAGGTATGTTTTTATAAATCATAAATGCCCACATGACTTTTGAAAAGATGCAGAAGCAAGAACGTTGAACAACAACATCATCATCATCATATTATGATGATATTAGTGAAAAGATCCTAACTTATAAGTTGAATAACAAAAATTGGAAGATACAATAGATATCATACAAAACTGATTCGATATTGCTAAAAGAGGATGAACGATGATAGTCCATACATTATTATCCCTTTATTTGAAAAAAAAAAAAAAAAGACGACATTTATTGTACAGCAAATCACAAACTCTGACATTGTTCTTATAGCTGATGGTTTATGGTGCTCTATTTCTCTTCACAGTCTGAGAAGATCAAGACCAGTCTTATCAAGAGGTTTCGAGAAAAACTTGGTAACATAATCAACTACTTGAAAATCTTCATATAGTGGGGGATTTTCTTCAGATATGAGTTCTTTGATTGGACCATACATCTTTGAAGGTGCTAAAAGACCATTGAAGAAGCATGCCACTGAAATCCTTGGTCCTATCTTGTTCGCTACAACTCTATGATTTGCACTTACAAACTTATCGTTTGATAGGATCTGTTGCAAAATCAGATTCAGATGAGTAACAATTTGTGAAAAATGATAACAAAAAGTTATGTTTTGTTGCAAACCTGAAGAAGGTCACCAATATTAACAATCAAACCATGTTGAATCGGTGTAACATCGGCTAATTGGTTGTCACACATTACTTGGAGCCCGCCACTCTGATCTTGAAGGACAATGGTAAGAAAACTAGGATCAGTATGCTTAGCGGTACCAAGAGTTAGCTCTGGTTGTGGGCATGTCGGGTAGTAATGGCATGCCAACACTTGTCCTTTATCACATTCCGCGGCTTTCAAATGGTCAGGTTTTAGCCCAAGAGCCTCTGATAGTAAGCCAAGAAGAATGTCGGCTAGTTTCGTGACATGATTTATGTACTCAAGGGATGTTTTCCTGAAAAATACCATCAACATCAAACAGGAGAGATAGAATTGAAATTCAAGTGCAGAGTAGTTACCTGCAAACTCGTGGTATTTCTTCGGGTTTAGAAACTACAGCAGAGATGAAGAGTGTATCTTTCCAGCTAACACTTGTTCCTTTTGTTTTGTACACATGAAGATTACTATCATATCTAACTTCTCTCGTTGGATCAGACGAATAGTACTCTTTCTTCACTTCAACATCTTGTTCATGAAATTTACGAGTTCCATCAATCATTCCTTCCAAAACACTTGAAGGAATCCCATGATTTATCAGTTGGAAAAATCCCCATTTCTCAGATGCTTCCCTTATTTCATCAACAATCTTCTTATGCCCATCTTCAACTTCTACACCACTTAGATCAACCACCGGAACCTGCAGAGTTGATGACTTGCACATATTCAACTCCTCAGCAAGTTCATGAGGTGGCCTAACGAAAATTCTAGGAATCTCGACTACTCCAGCATCGACGAGTCCCTTAACACCAGCCTTTGTATCATCAATAGCCTTTATCTCAGCCCATCCTTCTTCATAATCCATTGCTAATTCACTTCAGGATAGTCTTTCTTCTTATTTTCAACAAGGATAACTCTAAATATATATCTTTTAGTTAGTTTGACGTCAATGTAGAACGTAAAATTTCTATTATTAGACACCAACAGAACAACAAAAGAGATATTTAGTGGCAATATATTTTACTTTGTCATCGATGGCCTCCTTCCGTGACACGAGCTCAAGCTACATAGGGGCGATGTACCCCTGAGTACCCTCAATGTGCATAGTTACACATAAATATGCCTTTTAACTTGGTCTCACCTGATACCTATGTCGTCCAACTTTACAAGTAGACACTTGCATCATGATTTTGGTTCAAATATTTGAATAAGTTTTTCAATATTTCAAATATTTTAAAATTTAGGAAAATACAAATGCTAAAACAGAGTATTTGCAAATGCTGAAATACTATTCAATCAAGTATTTAAAGATTATGAGTTTCAAATTTGTCAACATACTTATAGCTCATTTTTGGGTTTACGATTAAATATTTATACATATTGGATAAATATCATAGTACAAATATATAATCTAAACAAAAATTATTGATTTATTCGAACCTGTAGCTAATATTGTAGCTACTACCTAACTATAGTAAATGTTGCAAGATAGGACTTGATGACGTTTTCTTTGTTTAATAGGACAACTAATATAATAATTCAAAGTTGTACATGACATATTTTTTGGGAGTAAGCATGCAGGGTACTAACAAAATTGAGGTCACAGACAAGAAATTTCATTTAGGGGGTAATTTTATTTTGAACTTTGCCTTGAGTTCATTTTTTATTAATAAAAGATGTTCTTTTTATGGGAATTTTTTTTTGTTGATTCTTACAACAACATATCTATTTATTGTCAAGCGGCAATAGCTATCGCGAAGAATAATTCTTAGAATTATAAGAGCATACACATGAAATTAAGACATGATAATTATGTGAAGTTAGAAATGTATCTGGTCAGTTCTCTAATTAAACCTGTGTGGGAAGAAAATTAATTCTTCAGACCTCAAAAGAGATGGGGTTCAGGATGATATGACTGTTAATAAAGTAGGTTTATATGGGTAATAATAAGTGGATATTGACATTGCATACTAGGTCATAATCACTTGAAAGATCCAATGGATCCCATATGTAACTGATCTGATAATGCATAACATTATTACAGGAACAAATTGAAATTAATCTCTTTATCATTGTACTGCGAATCGCGTAACTCTGATCGACATTGTTCTGTCTGAATGATGATAGTCTTTTCAGATGGTTTTTGCTGCTGCTTGGTGACGTGGTGTTCAGTCTCTATTCAGAGTCTGAAAAGATCAGACATCTTTGGAGAACATCGGCCCATTGGTTATCACACATGACTTGGAGCCCACCATTCTGATCTTGAAGTAGAATGATAACGTGAACAGGATTTGTATGCTTACCAAGAGTTAACTCTGGCTGTGGGCATGCAGGGTAGTAATTGCATATCAATGTTTGTCCTTTGTCACATTCGGTAGCTTTCAAGTGGTTTGGATTTAGCCCGAGAGCTTCTGATATTATGTGTATCTAAACTATTCTTTTATGAGAAAATTACGCAGTTAAGCAAACTTTTACTACTTATAATTACCACTCGCGACTAACATTATACATTAATTACGTGGGCTGACTTCTAGTTTGTATAATTAGTCACGTTTGTATATGTATAATTCGCCAGGATATACAAATACATATGTATGATATACAATTATCTAACCGATATACATATACTATCATATGGAGAATAAAATAGAGTCCGGAGCCAAAAGCCAAGAAGAGTGTCTTCTAGTTTTATGACATGCTTTATGTACTCGAGGGATGTTTTCCTGGACATTAGGAAAAGGTCAAATAATTTTGCCCTTTACTGAAAGAAATTTTCAGAATGCTGCTGAAGCAGAAACACGTTATGATTTCATAATGTAGTATCACTTCTGAAAATGCTACATGACATCCGCCACTGGCAACAAGTATCCAAATATCAATAAGAAATGAAGATAAACTGCTATACTGAGGCAGTGACATAAGTCTGAAGATATAATGCAAAAACTTCAACACCGTGTACGCATCAAACAGGAAAGATATAGAATTGAAATTCCAAGTGCAGAAAATACAGAGTTACCTGCAAACTTCTGGTATTTCTTCTGGTTCATTGTGACCAGAAACTTGCCCAGATATGATTAATGAATCCTTCCAGTATGCAGTCTTTCCTTTTGTTTTGTACACATGAAGATTGCTATCATATCTAACTCGTCTGGCTGTTAAATCAGATGAATAGTACTCTTTCTTCACTACAACATCTAACTTATACTACTTAATTACTCATCATAGTTATAGTTTGCTATAATTACCACTCGCGACTAACATTATATATTAATTATGTGGGCTGACTCCGAGTTTGTATAATTAGTCACGTTTGTATATGTATAATTCGCCAGAATATACAAATACATATGTATAATATACAATTATCTAACCGATATACCTATACGATTCACCTCTCTCCCACTCTCTGCCCTCTCTCGCTCGCCTCTCTCCTCCCCCTCACAATCTCGCTCGCCTTTCTCCTCCCTCTCCCAATCTCGCTTGCCATATATACAAATACATATGTATAATATACAAGTATCTAATTGATATACATGTACAATTCACCTCTCTCCCACTCTTT